GGTACGCTTACAAATTGAAAAAATGACAAAAAAGGTATTCTAGAGAGGATGAAGAACTTTCGAGTGATGTGCGTGGTTTTCAGGGTAATTCTTGTTTTCATTGAATTCGTACTGGGAAAACAACGCTGCAATATTATGTTCCAACCTAACTAAACTCACAATAGATCATAATCGAATCTCCCCACTTCAAAATTCAATTCTTCGGCGTCACCCCACGATTCTAGAGAAACCTTCGATATATGGGCGTCCTGCACGGCAAATTACTTCTCAATGCTCAACTCCTGAATCATGCTGTTCCTTGGAGTATGTTCCGGTCGCTGCTATATTTGCCGGTTCTGTCACGTATAATTCATGAGTGCCGCTTGAAACTTGTTCCTTAGCGTGTGTTTCATTGTTTCAGCGACAGACGAGGTCATTTCTAAGGGTAACGGTTGGGAGAAATCCCACGGATGGAGGCGAACATGCTTACGGATGGGATATCTCGAAACTGCCTCTGAACGGGTTCTCGGTCATTCGGTCGGGGGAGTGACCGACCAACCGACCGGGTTCGGCATCAGCCGTATGAATCCGCTTATAAGCACACTTGAAACAGCTAACCGGATCGCATTCACCTAATGTTAGCCGCCGCACTGCTTCTTCTTCTTCCTGCTGCTCAGGTAATTCCCTGCCTGGGCATTTTGTGCTAACTATGCACTACATATAATATGCCATATACCTTTCACTACTGAGCTGCTAGTGCAAGCTTACCGATATTTATCATTTTACCTGTTTAATATTTTACATGCTTTACAAGTTCTGTTTGATGCCAAAATATTTTTTCTAGCTTTTCTCTGAAACTACGCAATTCTTTATGAAGCCCACAGCTTTCTCTTCATCATGTTAAGGTTTTGTAGATGTTTCCAAATTCAACTTCTCGAAAACAGAGGAAGACTGTACTTTTTTGCTCTATCTAAGAAGAAGACTTAGAAACTAGAATTCTAGCTACGGTAATAATCGCAATTGCACTGTTGAAAAAGGATATCCAGCATAATTTGGAGCAGAAAAAACAAAATTCTCACAAAGTCCAAAACACTTTCCTACTGTTCATTCATTTCTAAAGAAACACTCACATATCTTCCGCAAAATCATCACGTTATGATTAGATTCTATTTCCTACTTCCGTAAAAAAATTACTAGTTTCGCTGAAATACGATCCCTCTTTTCCAGAAAGCCAAATGTGACCACTACCGAGAAAATATGTGATGATTCTAAGTATTTTTATAATTTCTATTTTCTTTACTAAACAAACTCGCTAGCTATAGAACACCTGTGCTTGATTTCCCGACGAAATCTTTCTAGCGGTTAGAGGAACATTCCGGAAGAAATGTTGTGGTTATTGTCCTCGAAAGTGAAAGTAGAACGTGAATTGGATCACCATTCAGAGAAAAGCAGAGCATCTGAATTCGTCGTAGGAAGTCCTCTTTTTTATTTACTTGCTGCATTTTTCCTTTGTTACTCTTTTCTTTAGAGAGGTTTCTCGGAAATTATCCCTTAACCTCGTTACTACCCTATGGGCGAGCCATGTTTTTCTGCGAAGCTTCGTTCTCCTTCTTTTTGTAAAATGTGCTTCTGAGCGGCCACATTCAGCCTACTTGTTTCTTGTCAAAAATGGGTAAAAAGAAGCCTGACATCAAAGGAGAATCGCCACGGGAAGTGCGTGGCTCTATGGCTCTACACACCCAAAAAAAATCGTTAGTTTGAGGCCCATTTTTGCCATAAAAATGAGATAAACGCAAAAGATCGGGTTTCTCTTCTGCTAAACAATCCTAAAAAGAAAAAACGGCTATGCAGGCGATTCACTGACTTAGAATTGGTGCAAGTGCTGACTGCTGGAAGCTTCCATTTGCTCTTTGAAGTGTCGTTACTGATAAATGTTTCGACACCTCACCTACCTAGGATGAGAGCTATCACTCTTCTGTTGCATCCTAATCCATCTTGCTGAAACTCTTTGTCTTCACTCATTGAAGTTGGGGCTTATGCAAATTCTACTTCGGTCACCTAGTACGCTGCCGCCCACTACACTTCGTTTCATGCGTTACCTTAACTCCAGAGAGGAGTCTCTCTCTGTCTACAAAAACTGATAGTCGGAGCCCGCATATTTTCGGAGACTGAGCTATCATACATGGAACTTCATGCACTGAACTTATCCAGGGAAGGCATTCAACTTCCCATGGAACTTTGAATTGAGACCCAGATATATCGATAGAGCTTCAAACGCTGATTACAAATATGGAAACTAAAACTGCAAAATGAACCTGCCAAGGAAGTTGTGAGCAGTCAAAGTTGGCTGGAAGTAAAGCGTTATATAACCGTGCTAGCCTCCGGGCTTTCAAAGTCGCCGTGGAGTAGTGGTAGTGCTCTCGAAATTTGCACTCCAACGGGAAGAGAACTTATGACCTCCCGGGTGAAGAGCGAGGGCACTACCACTACTCCGCGGCGACTCTGAAAGCCTGGAGTAGCACGGTTCATATGCTTTACTTCCAGCCAACTTTGACTGCTCACAACTTCCTTGGCAGGTTCATTTTGCAGTTTTAGTTTCCATATTTGTAATCAGCGTTTGAAGCTCTATCGATATATCTGGGTCTCAATCCAAAGTTCCATGGGAAGTTGAATGCCTTCCCTGCCCTTGTGGTGCATGCATTCATTTGGGGAAGGAACACATCAAGATTCCGTGCACGATTTCTGATACATTTCCCGATAGTGCAGGTATAGATTACGCGCTGAAAATGAATTGATCAGGCTAGTTGCCCTGCTGACGAAAGAACGCGAAGAAACATAGAAAAACCTCGGAGCAATGGCCTCAGTTTTGCAGATGTACGAAAACAACGGGAAGAAACTGTGCGCTGAGACTTAGTGCTTGCATGTTGGGATTGTTGGGATCAAATTCACAGATATCGCTTCTTCCCTATTTACATGCATTCCATCTTCAGGATTTCAATTATTTATTCTTCATTATCCTGCAGCGTTAGCGGATATTCGTAAGGCTGTGTCACGACACAGCAGCTATCCCTCGAAGGGAGAATTCTGACCTGGCTTCCCTGGCCTTAAAAAATAATCTTGTAGCGTCCTTTTATCCAGGAGTCCTTGAAGGGTACCGCTTACGCCGTCATGGATGGTGTAGCCTAATCCCAATCTTATTCCTCTATATATGTTTTCGAAATTTGCTTGAAATCTAGTTTCTCCAGAACTACCGTTCAATTGTTGTCAGATCTGGACTGTGTGTTTGCTTGTTTTCTTTGCTGCTAATAATAAAAGAAGTTGGATCGTATTTCACTGCGAGCTTGTTTGTTTGCATTTTTTGGGAGGGCTGTTGAGGTGAATACTCATCACGAAAACCGAAGTTGCATCTACTCTTCTTGAATTTTTAAGACGTATGTAGAAGTGCATACACTAATCTGAAGTGTGTCCGTCGATGCTTTTTGATGTGATTGAAAATTCCCTTCAATAAAGCCTTTTTCAGTGTAAATTCCAGGTTCGTGGCACAAAAATGTATGTACGATTTATTTGCTTACATATTTTACTTCATTAGGCCTGAAATTGATGCTGTTCTCCAGTACACAAGTTAATGGTGGGCGAAAATTAGTGAAAGTTCAGGCTTCCCCACTTTCTGCACGATTTGGAGCGCGGCCGCGGCACAAGCGGGGTTCCCGGCGGGTAAATCCGGATCAACCTGCTGATTCCACGTACCATTACAACGATCGTAACGACCGTAATGTAACGCTCGAATGCTAGGCAGGCTGAGGCCGACTAACTCGCCTCGAGGGTTGCCGCGCGCCGCGCTCCAAATTGTGAAGAGAGTTTGGGGAGCCAAACTGCAGTCCTTCGCGAATCATGTGTTGAAAAGCATTTTGAACAACTGGAGGCAGAATTTTACACGTCTCTCGCCCGGGTCACTCTCTAAACACTGCGGAACCTTCTACAGCCATCGAAACCTTCATCACCAGCTTGCCAAAATATCATTTTCACAAAACTCGATTTGTCTAATGTGTCTCTGAAGTGTTGAGATCGGAGCCTATAAGTCGATTTCGAACCTTGACTCTCTGCGGAATGCTCTAGAACGGACCCAGGGTGCGCTTAAGGCACGTGTCGTGATTGAAACTCCAGAGAAATTCCCTACCAATGTGATGTAGCAGGACCCCTAATTATAGATCCGGTGGTATTGTCGTGACTTGAAAGTGCACGACGATGGAGTTCGTGACTTCGTTTGAGCGCTTCGACCGCTGTCCACTCTTGTCAGACGCGGCATACGTCACCTCCGCGCCCTCTCGCGCACGACATGCTCTTTCGCGATTTCCCTCTCACTTCAGCGCTGTGTCTTTCCGTCGTACTACGGTCGACCTCAATAGACCTTAATGCTTTTCATGGTGCTTTTTGTTGTTTTTATTCCTTCACTAGGGCTGCTCTAGGCATTTCTTGCTCAAAATAAAATAGCTCGAGGGCGAAAACTAAAAGTTGTTCTCTGTCAGTGGATTTTTTTACCGTCAGGTTTCGAACTGGCATGCTGTCCGTTATAGTAGCGTTTTTTCGGAGTTCCAGTAATTTAAACCTACCCTGTAGAATCATTCACAAACGAATTGAACAAATAAGTAATATCAGCAAAAGCAGTAGCAAAACTGTGTGCGAAACGAAAGCTCTTTTCTTCTTACAAGTGGCCGGTTTCTAGCTATTACCTGTGAGTTTTTAGGCTTCGTTCTTTGGTGGAGGCGGTGGTTGTGGCTGCCCGTGTACACCCGTGCCATGTGCTCCTGCTCCACAGCCGCTCTGCCCTCCTCCACCTGTGTGCGGTCCATCGTATCCAGTGAGTTTTACAGACTGTTCAACGTAGGCTTTGCAAAAATCTGATATTCATGATATTTTAAAAACACAGCTGCGAAGTGGTGCAGAGATAGAGCCTGCGCCATGAGAAATGTACGAGACTCGAGAAATCGGAAAAAGGGGTCCATTTTTGGCTGTTGATTTGGATGGGGATCTAGATGGGAAATGAGGGGATCGTGTGCGTGAAGATATTTTGACAAGTGATGCAGCTCAACAACTTTTAACTGGTCGTCACCACTTTCCTCATGGAGGGCGTATACTGCGCAGAGGCGTATGAAACTCTCCTTTACGCCCTTTCATGTCATTGATAGCGTTCTTTTTCCAACAAAGCGCCATTGACTAGATCTCCAGGGCGAGACTTGTCCCACTACCCATTCATGTCTTCCACGAAAACACGGGTTATCGTAACAGCTGCCTTTGAGTTCGGACATAACTACGCATGGTATGCTCCATGATAGATTAGACTAAGGTGGTTCTGAAAGTTTTTTTTTGTGATTATCAAGCTACTTTCTCTATTCACTCTCCTTTCAAATGTGTTTTACCCTGGAAAGGAATAATTAGACGGTTTAGTGAGTGAAAGTTCGAAGTTAAGGAATGTGGTTAAGTGAGTAATAACTAGAGAGTGGGGATCGTAAACGTGGTAAAAACCACCCTCCTGAGAACTCGGCGTCATTATTGTTCGTTAGCAATTTCAGAGCTACCAACCGGCTCCACAATACTACCCTCAGCAGGCTCCTGCCTACATCCCTCAAGGTTTGCTTGTTGAAATTATATTGAGATATAACACATTTATTCTGAGAATGTATAAATGACGAATTTCAGCACCTCAAGGATATGCCGTACCGTATAAAAAGCGATTCGCGTATGGAGTGCGAACTGGTGTAAGTTACTGCTTTAAGGCCTCTCTGTTGCATTTTCTAGTTCAGCGCATTCAGGAGCCATCCAGAGAAGACCTAATGCTTGCTGAGACCCAAGGACTACGACGACGTGTTCGCCGAGACACTGAAGCGGCCTTCGACCCAAAGTGCAACTCGGAACTTCTCAAAGAAATCATTCTAGAGGTAATCCTCCTCTATGGCTTATCACGGGAGAGTCAGCGGATCACCCTCAAAATTACCATTTAAGGTCTTTTAAATGCACCGATAACACTTCAAAAAGTTCAAGCTTATACATCTGAATGTCTGGG